TTTACAGGAGATGACCAGAGACTACGGACATAGTACAGGAGATGACCAGAGACTGCGGACATACTACAGGAGATGACCACAGACTGCGGACACAGTACAGGAGATGACCAGAGACTGCGGACACAGTACAAGAGATGATCAGAGACTGCGGACACAGTACAGGAGATGACCAGAGACTGCGAACATAGTACAGGGGATGACCAGAGACTGCGGACATAGTACAGATGACCATAGACTGTGGACATAGTATTCTGGTCATTTGACTAGAGACTGCGGACATAGTACAGATGACCAGACACTGCGAATATAGTACAAGAGATGATCAGAGACTGCGGATACAGTACAGGGGATGACCAGAGACTGTGGACATAGTACAGGAGATGACCAGAGACTGCGGACATAGTACAGGAGATGACCAGAGACTGCGGACATAGTACAGGAGATGACCAGAGACTGCGGACACAGTACAGGAGATGACCAGAGACTGCGGACACAGTACAGGAGATGACCAGAGACTGCGGACACAGTACAGGAGATGACCAGAGACTGCGGACACAGTACAGGAGATGACCAGAGACTGCGGACACAGTACAGGAGATGACCAGAGACTGCAGACACAGTACAAGAGATGATCAGAGACTGCGGACACAGTACAGGAGATGACCAGAGACTGCGGATATAGTACAGGGAATGACCAGAGACTGCGGATATAGTACAGATGACCAGAGACTGTGGACATAGTACTCTGGTCATCTGACCAGAGACTGCGGACATAGTACAGATGACCAGACACTGCGGATATAGTACAGGACATGATCAGAGACTGCGGACACCGTACAGGAGATGACCAGAGACTGCAGACATAGTACATGGGATGAACAGAGACTGCGGACATAATACAGATGACCAGAGACTGTGGACATAGTACTCTGGTCATGTGACCAGAGACTGTGGACATATTACAGATGACCAGAGACTGCAGACCTTTGGGGAGCAGAGGGGGGAGCGGGTACCCAAATATGACAGGTATCCGCTCCCACTTCCGTGGAGTTGTCCTTCCCCCTCCGTCCCCGTAGTCTTTTGGGACACTTGACAGGTCCCAGGAGACTACAGGGCAATTCAAAAAAGCGCAGCGCCTCTCGCGCATGCGCAGTGGGCACCCGGCTGTGCAGCCTCAAGCTGTCACAGCCGGGTGCCCACACTAAAGTTGCCGGCGCCGGGGGAGAGAAGAAGGTGAGGAACAGGTAGGACCGCTGGAGGACTGCAGGTTCTGCTGCACAGAGCCAAGCGGCCGGCCCGGTATTCTAACACAGCGGTGGTGATGGGGAGAATCCCGGGCCAGCCGCTCAATATTCATTCCATAAGAAGCACAGACATTTTCCCCCATTTTTTGGGGGGAAAAAAGTGTGTTTTATGGAGCGAAAAATACGGTAGCTTGTTTTAGTGTCATTCACCTTAAAAGGACTTTGAAATGCTCAGATGTGACTCTGCTTTTAGCAGCAGAGTGGCTAAATGGTTAGCACTTCTGCCTGGCAGTATTAGGGTCATTGGTTCAAATCCCAACCATGACATCACCTACCTGGAGTTTGCATGTTCTCCCTGTGCCTGCGTGGGTTTCCTCTGGGTACTCCGGTTTCCTCCCACACTCCAAAGACATGCTGGTAGGTTAATTAGATCCAGTCTAAATTGGCCCTAGTATGTGTATGCATTAATGTAAGTTAGGGACCTTAGATTGTATGCCCCTTGAGGGTTACTCTCTGATGTGAATGTACAATATAAGATTTAGATTGTAAGCTCCATGAGCAGGGCCCTCACATTCCTTCTGTACTGGAATGTATTGCAATTGTACTGTCTCCCTTATATTGTGCTGCACAAACTGTTGACGCTATATAAATCCTGTATAATAAGATATATGTATATATACACCGTGTTCCAAATTATTATGCAAATTCTATTTAAGTGTCACAAAGATTAAATATTTTGTTTTTCAGTTTAACTCATGGATGGCATTGTGTGCCAGGGCTCTTTTGATCACTGAAAACAATCTCGGACACCTGTGATAATTAGATTGGCCGGTGAGCCCAATTTAAGGAAAAACTACTAAAGGAGGGTGTTCCACATTATTAAGCAGAGCACCATTTTCAAGCAATATGGGGAAGAAAAAGGATTTCTCTGCTGCCGAAAAGAGTGAAATAGTTCAATGCCTTGCACGAGGTATGAAAACATTAGATATTTCACGAAAACTTAAGCGTGATCATTGCACTATTAAGAGATTTGTGGCTGATTCAGCGCACAGACGGGTTCGTGCAGAAAAAGGCACATTGAGGAAGATTTCTGCCAGATCCATGATTCGGATCCAGAGAGCAGCTGCTAAAATACCATTACATAGCAGCAAACAGATATTTGAAGCTGCTGGTGCCTCTGGAGTCACCCACGGACATCAAGGTGTAGAGTCCTCCAGAGTCTTGCAACTGTGCATAAAACTTCTATTCGGCCCCCAATAAACCAATGCTCACAAGCAGAAATGGCTGCATTGGGCAGAAATATACATGAAGACTAATTTTCAAACAGTCCTGTTCGCTGATGAGTTCCGTGCAACCCTGGATGGTCCAGATGGATAGAGTAGTGGATGGTTGGTGGACGGCCACCCTGTTCCAACAAGGCTGTGATGTCAGCAAGGTGGTGGTGGAGTCCTGTTTTGGGCCGGAATAATGGGAACAGAGCTGGTCGGCCCCTTTAGGGTCCCCGAAGGTGTAAAGATGACCTCTGCAAAGTATGTGGAGTTTATGACTGACCACTTTCTTCCCTGGTACAGAAGGAAGAACTATGCTTTCTGTAATAAAATCATATTCATGCATGACAATTCGCCATCTCATGCTGCAAAGAATACCTCTGCATCAATGGCTGTTATGGAGATAAAAGGAGAAAAACTCATGGTGTGGCCTCCATCCTCCCCTGACCTCAATCCTATTGAGAACCTTTGGAGCATCCTCAAGCAAAATATCTATGAGGGTGGGAGGCAGTTTACATCCAAACAGCAGCTCTGGGAGGCTATTCTGACATCTTGCAAACAAATTCAAGCAGAAACTGTCCAAAAACTCACAAGTTCAATGGATGCAAGGCTTGTGAAGCTGCTATCAAATAAGGGGTCCTATGTTAAAATGTACCGTGACCTGTTAAAATGTTTAAAAAGTTAAAATGTTGTTAAAAGTTTGATTGAAATAGCTTTTGATTTCAGTAAATATGCTGCAAACACAACAAATGACAATTTTAAGTTCTTTACAACCTATAAAGTGTTTTGAAACTGACTGTGCGTAATAATTTGGAACAGTGCATTGTAAATTTTTTATGTTTAACAAAAATACTGTTACCATTAGGAGGTTTGTTCAATAAAATTTGAATTGTACTCTTAATAGTTGATAACATGAGAATTATGCTGACTGTTATTTACATCAATTATTTAGGTAAATGAGAAAAATATCATTTGCATAATAATCTGGAACACGGTGTGTGTATATATATATGTGTGTGTGTGTGTGTGTGTGTGTGTGTGTGTGTGTGTGTGTGTAAAGCGCTGTGTAAATTGACAGCACTATATAAGTACCATAAATAAATAATAAAGTTCTGGACACCATGAACACCATGAACCTCTAATACTTAAAACATCTAGTGGTTCTCCTAAAATACAGGTTGGTGCTTTAATTATTATGAGTGCACTGATGTGGAAGCTTGTAGGGCTTACAAGCCCAATAAATGGGGTATACTTGAATGTATCTGGTATGACACAAGCTGACAGTGTACAATATATGTGAAATTATAATTTGTTTACATTTTTAAACTCAGTTTTCTACAATGTACAAAAACCAGAAACAAAACTGTATGATTACAAGCAAACTGACTGGATCATTATAAGGGGGCTTTCAGGAAGAAAAATTCCTTCAGATCCTGTATTTTAGAGGAATTAAACGCTACAGCTGCAGGTTATAAAATTAAATTTTTACTATTGAAATCTGTTGTTACCCTTTCTCCAGGGTGTCTTTGTGGGCCTCAGTTTATTTAGCGGTCTAAACAACATTAAGACAAAGGTCCTACTGTTTTCAGGAGACTGAAAAAAGTGTGATCCGCCGTAATTTACACATACAGTGGGGTCATTTTCCGGTTACTTGTACTCCCACATCCCACCTTACATTCATGCATCTTTAATAAAATGTTACTTTATTAATCATCAGTTATTAGCATTCACTAATGGTTAGACCTATGAGTGTAAGAAAATGTATACACCCCATGGATCATCAAGGACTGCGATGTCAGTAACACAAAGAAATAACTATAATTTGAGAGTCTTGATTTGAGAATTGAAAGAGTTAGTTATAGGGGTTTTATCAAATTTTGCCATATATGCAGGCCAGTAATTTTTTATTTTTATTGGTCAAATCAGAGGTTGGCCTCAGATGGGCAGATGGCTTGTAGATGATAATGAATGGTGGGTTATCTGTTTGTCCTCTTTAGTATTTTCTTCTTCCTGACTTAGCCAATATGTAGTTTCAGTGCATGAACACTGAGGGCTTTTTTTTTCTTCATTGGCACACAAGCACATACATAGACATGCTCATTATGAAGAAAAATCTCTTTGCATGATAAGCTCTGCTGAGTACTGATGGTTAACAATTTACATGGCTGCTAATCACTATAGCTTTTAAGCTCCTGAGGCTCCAAAAAAGTATGCTACATGATTAATGAATAAGTAACCAATTTATTATCATTAGCGTGCCAACTGTATTGGTAATTTCAAGACCTTGGCTTTACCAGAAATCACATTTTATATGGATTGCAATGCATTTTAAACAGATTGCATTTTAAATAGATTTCACTTAACAAAAAGCAGAATAGGGAAAGGTTTGTGAAAATCTAAAAAAAACTGAATAGAAGGATACCTAATGATTTTGTACCTGGAAAAATCAGTCAGGACTAGAAGGAGACTAACATCAGTTAATGGTTAGCTAATATGAATACTCATCATCAAAGTAATTATCTTCCTCTGCATCCCCAGCATGTTCTCCTGCTATTGGTTCATGCTCCTCTCTGTGATATTGAGGAAAATCTTCATCATCATCATCATCATCATCATCATCCCTGTCCTCTTCAGGCAATGGGAACTGAGGAATGAGTGGCATATTCTTTTCCCCAGCAATTTGCTTCTGCTCACCATAGTAAATACTGTATATATGGGGAAAACAAAGAAACACTAAAGTGCTTAAAGGACGTCTTAGTTTGTTTTGATCCACACGAAGGTAGGTCAGTCGGTGCATTCTATCCATTACTGGGCACATCAATGTTATGTTTATAGCTGTAAGAAAGAGACAAATTACTTTTGTTCTTTTGTTCTGCAATTTACTAGAATGATAATAAAAATGTGTGTTTGTGTATATATATATATATATATATATACACACAGGGCTTTTTTTTCTCAGAGAATAGGTGCAGGAACTCCCCCTTTCCAAATTCCTCCATGTCTCCACCCCCTACTCACCTCCCAGCCTGTTCCTTGGATGCACCCTTTACCCACCTCCCAGTACCTCCCCTTTTAGAGAATACAGAACCAAGTGTCATTTTGTGGTGCTAGGTAATTTTTATGGAGCTTGTCAATGATAACAGGAAATGCATTAAAATAGATCTCCTGTAGCTAGCAACAATAGACTCCAGCTCCTCCCCCAGGAAACAATGACCCCCAATAGACCATAGACAATAGATCCATCCCAGCAACAATAGACTCTCAACAGCCAGCATCAATAGACCCCCCGCAGCAGCCAGACTATACCTGCCTCAACAGTAAATCCCTCTCAGCAAGGACTTGATCTCCCCAGCAACATAAGACCCATCCCCAGCAACAATAGATTCCCACTAGCAACAATAGATTCCACAGCAGCCAGTAACAATAGCACACCCCAGCACACACCAGAGCCCCTTGCTAATACATACATTCAGTGCTGGAGGTGTCGGAACTGCATTCCCCCACGTTCCGCCTGAAAAAAAGCCCTGCTGCTGCTGCTGCTGCTTCGCTCTACACTGTCAAGAACAAAGAAAGAAGAACAAGAAGAGATTATAGACCCCCTCCTTCAATAGTAAATCCCCCCCAGCGAGGATTGACCCCTGAAGAAACATAAGACACACCCCCAGCAACACAGCAACAATAGATCCCCACCAGCAACAATATATCAAACAGCAGCCAGTAACAATAGCACATCCCAGAGCCCCTTGCCAATACATACATTCAGTGCCTGAAAACAACCCATATATATATATATATATATATACACACACACTATATATTGTCAAAAGTATTGGCAGAGAGTACTCCACTCTCAAAATATAAATAAACAAAAAGAAATGTATATATGTACAGATGGACAAATGTACATATGGGCAATTATAAATAAACAAGCACAAATACAAATACAGTATGTTATTCAATATTGCAAACAAAGATAATAAAGATGAATAAAGCAAACAGATGTGCAAACTGTCCATACAGATGGATAAATATCCAAGTGTGAGACGGAGAGCATTCAGTGCAGTAGGAATAGAGGGTTGCAGGAAATCACACCACCCACGTGTAAAGTAAACTCTATACCAGAGACACTAATCCCACATAGAAATCATAAAGCGCCTTGCCGTCCCACAGCACAAAATATTCAGACACGCCACTCCATCTACAGTATATATGAGGAGACAAAAGGAAATTGCGCAGGATTGTGAATAAGAAAACAACTGCTACAAAAGTGACTACAGAGCTCAATCTCAGTCTTCATGGGACTGGGATTGAGCTCTGCAGTCACTTTTGCAGCAGTTGATTTCTTATTCCAGGTCACAATCTTGGGCAATGTCCTTTTGTTTCTTACAGGAGTGTCTGCTTGTACACTCAGAATTGGATGATAATTATTGACCGTCTAAGCAGAACCTACAAAATGCTGTATGTTTTTCCTATTTCTCATTTTCCCTAATTTTCTGCTTTTTACATTTTCTTAGAATTTCAGTTGTATTTTATTTTTTCATGGTGGGTAGGACAAACATAGCATCATTTTTTTTTAAAGAAATATAAACTAAATGGTACTTTAAAGTATTACTTTAGTTTAAATATTGTTTTGCAGGTAGTGAGAAAAAGGTTAGAACCCCTGTCAGGTTTTATTGCTATCCAGTGTTCTTTCCCCTCACTCTTGAGAAGAGGAGATTAAGGGGGATATGATCAACATGTATAAATACATTAGTGGTTCATATAGTTATTCACTGCAGGGAATGTATACCATATGGATCCACTTCAATAATAAACCACCGAATCCTTATGTGGTCTGATTATCCTAAGGATTCAGTGGTTTATTATTGAAGTGGATCCATACGGTATACATTCCCTGCAGAGTATTGCTCCCTGGAGACCAAATATCAAGTTCCTAGTGTTGCCTCACCAGCTTGCAGACCATTGCTCCCAGAGCAGAAAGCGCTTTATGCTGATTTATAATTTGATCAGCATATTGCTCTGGAGAGTTCATTCAAATTATTTGGTGGTGGATTCACTCTGGTAATATTTATTGAACACTCCTTAATTTTTCACGTATTACATCACTTTGGACTTTTTTGGACTTTATATGATTTATGTATGACCTTATTTATGTATATTTATTTGCATATTCTCTATTAGCACAACCTGGTTTCTTTATAAAAAAAAAAATAGTAAGAAAAAGAAAAACGTTAAAAAAGAAAGTTTTTAAAAATTATCATTTTTTTTAAACATACTGTCGCCAGTCCTTATCCCTGATCACCGCCGTCACACCAGTCATATTATGAGTCTGTACTACATTGGTGACAGTATGTAAAACAAAAAAAATTGGCAAACAAAGTTTGTTTATTATTTTTCATTTTCAAAAAAATTGTGACAAAAAGTTTGCAACTTCAAAAACTCATCATGCCTTTTACTAAATACCTTGGACTGTTTTCTTTCCAAAAAGGGGTAATTTTGGGGGTATTTGTACTGTGTTGGCATTTTAGGGCCTCAAGAAGTGAGATCGGCCACTAGTATATCAGAATTGATCCATTTTCAAATATACTATATATACCCTAGTTTTTAGACTCTAATTTTCACTGTAAATAATATACACTGATTTGGGTTATTTTTTTCCAAACAAATGTAGTAGGAAATTAAACATTTTCAGTATTTTTGTTTATATAGCAAAAAATAAAAAACCCAGTGGTGATACCACAAAAAGAAAGTTCTGTTTGTGTGAACAAAAATTATATAAATTTCATATGGACACAGTGTTGCATGACCAAGCAATTGCCAGTTAAAATAGAGCAGTGCTGTATAGCAAAAAGATGCCCTGGTCATGATGAGGGTAAAACCTTCCAGAATGGTTAAAAAACAAATATTTTTACTTATGTCTCTGTTGCTGTTAAAATGTTTCCTTCACTTCCTCTCTGTGAAAAATGTTGCCCCCTGGAAGTGAGCAAGGGAAAGTGTCGGACAGTAGTAAAATATGGCAAGGGTTCTACCATTTAAAAATGCCATCCTGAGTTTTCTGAACTTTATCTCCCTTGTTTGCTGGCTATACTTAACACAATAAGGATGCGGGTGCTTATTTGTATTTTTTAAACACAATGAGTATTTACTTACTTTCAAATTCGTTGTCATGCAAATATAGGTGCTCAAGTGATCGAGGAATGTAAAACACATGTTTTAGTTTGTTGTGACCCAGGTTCAGCTCCATGAGGTGTGGAAGGTTAAACGTGTTCATAGCAACCTCCTCAAGCTTGTTCTGTGACATTCTAATTGCAATTAGATTTTGAAGCCTTGTAAAATAATCATCTGGAATTTTGGAAATCGAATTATTTTCTAGCGACAGGTACATTACAGAAGATGGAAGGTTTGCAGGCATAGAATTGAGTTTGTTGTTGCATATATATTAAGCTGCATTAACTTGGTCAGTTTGCTGAATGTTTTCCCTTTGATGCTCTCAATACGATTGTTGCAAAGGTCAAGCATAGTGACGTTTACTAAGCCCTGAAAATCTTGCTCCTTTATTCTGTTAATTTTGTTGTTCCCAAGGAAGACTCTTTCAACAGATGTTGAAAAAGGTGATGGTATCTCTTCTAATTCATTGTTGTTTAGGTAGATTTGATGAAGATGAGGGCATTTTGCAAACACGCCATAATCAATCTTTTGTGATTTCAATCTATTGTAGCTCAAGTTAATTTCTCTTACATTGGTGGCATTGATGAAGGACTTCATATTAACTGCTTCAATTTCATTGTGCTGAAGGTAAAGCTGCTGAATTCGGGATGGGATCTTGGGAATGGCCATGAGTTTCCTGTTGTCACAATACATGGTGATTATGGATGATGGAGGACAGTAGCATTCCCTAGCACAATCTGTCGTGTAAGGAACACTTGAAGCATGATAATCTGTGATACTTGAGAAATGAAAGGGTGGCTGGTACTCAGGTTCTGGCTCAGGATCATAATCAGTATCGTAATCATATCCCTCATACTGGCAAAGCCCTCCAGTTGCAAGCATGAAAAATAAAACTGAAAACTGAATGAAAATGTCCATTGTAACCATTTTTTGAACACTGCAATAAGAAACAAATATATACATTTTGGTATTTCCTATATAAAGTGAGCAAGCCATGCTAAATTACAAATAGATAATTGCCAGTTTCTTTTAGAAGTTCCCTGAAAGTTATTCTCATTCTTTAGTTTCACTAATTTTCATGAACTTTTAACACATATGCAGTCATTAAATTCAAAACTCAAAACACAGACAATACAGACACCTATATATTTCATTTAACAAACTATTAAGAAAATGATAAATGAGCAAAAATGGTTTTTTAACATCCAATTTGTATTTCATGGATTATATCACTGGCTGTTTTAAATTTAAGCACCTTTCATGATAGCAAATAATAATGTTGCTCTTTGGCATTATTTTGCAAAATCCTTTTCCTCCAGCCTTTTAAAACTACTCTGCATTCAGAGATGCTTAACAATAAACTTTGTTTCCTAAAAGTACATATTTGCTTTCAGTGAGCACAAAACTATTGCCTAACTAAAAATCTATCAGCTTTATAATATGCTACAACATAGTGTTTGGCACCAGCCCCAGAAGCCTATAAAACTTTCAGTTTAATTTATCACAAAGCCTACAGCTGTAGCAGCTGGCATGCACACAAAATCTCTATTAAATGCAGCATTCTTGACTTTAAGAAAATCGTAGCCATCACCTTAAACAAACATCGTCTTGGTTAGCATAACTAATTTGCAGTAGTTCCATACCTGAGTAATTATGCTTCTTATTTGCTCTGAGAGAAAAAATGCTTATGGTAAAATTGTCTTTCAATATGTATCACCAGATGCTGTAAGAAATCAAGTTCTAGATTTAGAGATCGCCTTGACGGTCTAAAGAAGAGAAGCTGAAGTTTTTCTCCCAGCAAAAGTAATCTTCTCTCATCCAGACCTGATGACTAAAATTGAGTCCTTTCATTGTGCAAAGTAAACTAGACCCAAAAAAAAGGAACTGCTATGTGATTTTGGCCAAGTTCACTGGGTTTAATCTGTGTCCCTTCTTATTTTCAGTTTGAGGAGTGGCAACAATCCGCAGAGGGGAAAGTACTTCATACAGCAATATACACATATAATGCAATCCATCACTTTATTTGCCAAAATATCATTCATACTTGACTCTGGATTCCATGATGTTTCTTTTTTTTTATGTACTAAATTGCCAAATACATTTCCATGATTAGATATGCAGCACTGGAGCTGCATGTCTAATTTAGTTTTTTATTTTTGTCAGAAAGCATTTCAGTTTTTTACTAAACGAGGCTGACTTAAAGTGTAAATATAGGCAATACAAAAGAGATTAGGTGTGAAAGCCCACAGGGAATTCTCCACCAGAACAGAGGCTCCAATAGGAACAACAGCAGTATATCGGTAAAAAATGTTGCTTTAATAGGTACAAAAGACTGATTAATAAAATAAACCAAAAAGGAACACTTCCACCAAACACCATTAAAAACACTTATGACAACGTTGTCAGATGTTATAAAAAGCAAATCAACCCAGGCTCACAGGCACACACCTCCATGCATACAAGTGCCTAATAATAAATTATGTAAAGTATATGACTGACTAGAAATCTGCTATGAATTACAGCAAGAAATTGGAATCGTTTAGAATAAAAAAAATATAAAAATAGGTAGATAATAGGAGCCACTCCTATTCCCCCAACTGAGGGAGAGGTGTCATGAATCTCCTGAAGCTGCAGCCACAAATAATCAGGCACCATCTCGTCTCCATCATTTTCATCTTCTTCCTCGTGTTGAATGTTAGTTTGACATTGCAGGCGTGATCTAGGACTAAGGATGCATGGTTCTATTGGTTCAGAGTCAGGAGGCTGATGTATTTGGATGGCGTCTGAAATAGGTAGCAAGTGATTTTGGTAACATGTTTTTAGTGGGCCCATTTTCCCTTCAGGATGGATTTCAACTGGCAGCCCGGGGAGTTGCTTGCAGACAATATATGGTTGGGATCACCAGTGAATGGCCAGCTTGTGTTTCCCAGGTACTCCCAAGTTTCATGAAGGTTGAAGGTCTTGTAATTTCACCTTGAGGTCAAAGTTGCTTTTATTTCTTTGCTCTCATGTGATTACAATCTCTCTCACCTTCTCATTGGCTTGCTTCAAAATTTTCTGTAGTTAGTTGGTTAACATACCCCTTGTATGAAGTCAGCGATGTGTGATCTGTAGAGGTTCTAAAAAGCTAGGTTGACCAGCAGTCAAGCTTCTCTCCCAAACATAAATCTTTAGGAGGAATACTGCAAGGCATTGTTAGTCGTGCTGTTGTAGGCATGAACTACAGCTGCAATATGATTTCTACAATGCTGTTTCTTCTCTGAGGGCAAAGTTCCCCCAACATATTAAACAGAGTGTGGTTGAACGGTTCAGGTGGAGGATCTCCCTGTGGATAATATAGTGAAATTCGGGATTTTTGGATGCTCAGCAGCTCACATAGCTTGTGAACAAGTTTGCTCTCAAAGTCCCTGCCCTGATCAGAATGTATTTGTTGTGGCAAACAATAGTGCAAAAAAACTTTTCCATCAGTACTTTTGCCCCAGTGACTGATTGTTAATCCTTGGCAGGGAAGGCTTGAGCATATCAAGTAAAGTGGTCGGTTACCATCAGAACATTGCTCCCACTGACATTGGGCTACAGGCACAAAACGTCAATGCACATCAACTCCATAGGCCCTTAACTTTGAAGGTGACCCATGAGGGCAGCTTTGGTTGGTAGAGTTTTCCTTTGAATGCACTGTAGGCATGAATGACAATAGCGCTCTACTTCTGCTCTCATAACAGGCCACTAGAAAGAGTCCCTAACCAATCTAAAGCTCCTATCTGGTCCTAAGTGCCCATTGTGACAGGAGTGACTTTGGGGGGTGGGGAGACCCCTGTCTCAGCCACCCAAATCCCTCTTATGTGTAAGTCGCCCTGTGCCTGTTAGGGGTACAGGGTGATCTGTCCTACTATTGTGTAGGCATGTATAGGTTGGGTGTGGGAGTTCTTCATTGTTTAATGCCACATGGTTGTCCCATTGTTCTATTATGTGTCTTGCTTGAGAGCAAACTATTATGGGATATATGGGTTTGGGTATTGTCTACTGCCACGTGGTGTATCCCATTGTTCACTGCCATGGGGCTGCATCCCATTGTTCTAGCAAACTATTATGGGATGTCATGTTTCCGGCAGCCCTTCCCCCTGATGGGACGGCCTGCTGATGTGTTTCCTGTCTGGGTGCGTATTTCCCTGCCCTGTGTATATATCTTGTATCTGTGTTAAAATAAAGCAGTCTATTTCCTGTCTTTCATACAAGCCTGGTGCGGTCTATTTCCATTTTGGTCAGCGGTGGTGTCCACGGATCTGTGTACGGACAGGGAAGCGGGAGTCTAACGGAAATACCCTAGGGAAGTCGGGGTCTGGTTCCGTTACATTGGTGGCAAGCGGTGGGATTGTGCTTCCAAGCTTTGTACACGTCCAAACCACCACCGGGATTCAAGATCAGGAAAGTAGACGTCAGTCACACCAGTGGAGATATGGACCTGGCATCAGAGTTCCCAGGGCTGCTGCAGAGCGTTCTTGCAACATACCCCAGGACTGTGTCTACGGATCAGTACCTGGAGCTCAGGCAGCGGATTTGGGAGGTGCTTTGGAGAGGAGCCCTCCAGGTTGCTGGTATGGACAAGGGCAAGTGCTATCCAACCCCAGGGGAAAGGGCCAGGGTCCATCGGAAGTTACGGATGCCGGTCCTGGGAGAGCAACCCCAGGAGCAATGGGTGACTGAGTTGAACAGGCTGGTCCAACAGGAGATAGAGCTGGACAACAGATATCGGGCTCTGCAATGGTATGCAGAGCAGGAACATTTAGGGGTGACAACAGAGTGCTCTCCTGAGGGATATGACTTTGGTGGCCCTGGATTGCTATGGGAGAGCCTTACAGATCATTTTGTGTTTGGCGATGAAGGAGAACCTACCCTGGAGGAGTTGCGAGAAGACAGAGAGGCTATGTTCGGTCTCACAGGGGTCTCAGAGCTTGAACCAGATCTGGAATACCTGCTGAAGAAAGAACTGCATCTGGAAAGGGCATACAGGCAACTACTAAAACATGTTCAGCAGCATGCCCAAGAATCGGCAGTGGAAATTCCAGAGACTGGGGATTTGATAGACTTCTCTGCTGAGGAAAAACAACCTGGTAAGCCTCCAGCAGAAAAGCTGGCAACAGGGCAAAACACTACTGAACTCTGCCCAGCACTGGTAACATCTTCTGAGTTCCATGGACAGGAGATGGTGAATCCCTATCCCCA